CATAAATTACCCTATTTACTATTGACTCTCCACTCCGTACGAACAACCAACCCCACATTTCTTCCCTCACGCCTCCCCCATTCCCTACGAAAAGGCCAAATTCTTGATCCAGGAGAGGTAGGTGCCGAGGCGGATGTCGACGTACAAACCCGGGAACTCTTGTAGACCGCATCCATAACCTCTGGACACGACACCAGCTAAGACGTAGCGATTGCTCTCGTCCTGGTAAACCACGGGGCCTCCAGAGTCTCCCTGTGGGCGTGGAGAGAGGTGAGCGTAAGCATGAGTGTGGGTATGTTGGTGAACAGGAATATACATAGGTGAGCATTAGATATACAGGGGAACGTGTAATAAAAGTGAACATGGATATGCAAGGGAATATAGGTGTACAGTTGAACGTGGGTATATAGGAGAACATATGTATATAGGGGAACAGAGATATACAGGTGTACATATATAAATAGGTGGACACAGATATACACAAAAGTGGGGACAAAGGTGAAACGAAACACGGCCACGATAAGTTAAGAAACAGAATGACATTATCTTCCTGTTTACGTTCTTATCCATCGTTAAAAAGCACGATATTCAACCCGCGAATTCTCAAATAACGTCCACCTTTACTCAGACCCACATCAACCAACTCCCTTCGTCAGGAAACTCACTTGACACGCGTCTTTGCCTCCTTTGGGGTCTCCGGCGCAGAGGCTCTCTGTTCCTATGCCGTTGGGCCAGTCCCTGGAGTACTGGGGAAGGGTGGAGTAGCTCTCGTCACAGCGGGAGTGGTGGAAGACAGTCAGGTTCACTTCTTGTAGGATGGGACTACCAGCTCCACCTGTTGAATGGGGTGGTAGTTATTTAGATGTTTGTGTTAATCTCAATTTTTTTTTCTCCGTTTATCTTTTATTTCTTTTTCACTATGTTTCGTTGTTCTTTCTCCTTTTCTTTCCGCATACATATATCGCTGTCTCTCTTTTCGTACTGTTCGTATTTTCCCCTCTCTCTTTCTCTCTCACATTATCTTCCTCTCTCCTTCTTTTTTCCCTATATCACTCTCCTTTGATCTCCTCGGTCCGTCCTCACTTTCCCTCCCTCTATCCCCCCTCTCCCTTTCCCACCTTCCCTTTCCAAAAATTAAGAGAAGATAAACTATATAGAAACTCAACTACATTCAGTAAAATCCCATCTCTTTCTCTCTCTCTCTCTCTCTCTCTCTCTCTCTCTCTCTCTCTCTCTCTCTCTCCCCCCTCCCTCTTTTATCCTCTCTATCCTTCTCAAAAAAAAGAAAAAGAAAGAGAGAGAGAGAAAAAGAAACACTAAAACGAAGCAAGCACATGAACCAACCGTGCTCAGTGGCGCCCCAGCCTGTGAGTATTATGATCTGGTTCACAAGGTTTTTCTCCGACTCTCTGCCCCAAGGAAGACAGACTGGATTGATGTTATCCTGTAGGGAATAAAATCTATATTAATACTTTTAGCTATTCGTTTACATTGTACGTGGGTAAGGTCTGTATCAAATAATATCATTTGGGGGAATTGCCTTTTTCGTATATATAACTTATAACATTGTTGATCACTCTAAAACCAGTTCGGGTAAGCGGCCTGCATTCCAACCGTAAATCCAAATCAGGTGAATTAAAATGAGTGAATTAAAAATTCAGGTGAGGTAAAGAGAAGAAAAGAAAAGAAAAGAAAAGAAAAGAATGAAAAGAAAAGAATATAATAGAAAGGAAAAGAAATTAATAGAACAGAAGAGAAAAAAATACGACGAAACCAAAATGAATAAATAAAAAGAAATCAGTTCTTACAAAAGAACGGACACGAATAGAAAAGAAAAAGAAAAAAAAAAAGAAAAGAGAAAAAAATCAATTTGCACAGAAGAACAGGCAAGCACTCAAACCCTAAATCCAGTTCAGGTAAACGCCACGCGCTTAAAAAAACCCAAACAATACAAAATCTACGTCAGGTAAAACCCAAATTGACCCCCTCCCCCCCTCTCTCTCTCTCTTAAACCCTCTTTAAACCCAGCTCAAACAAAACAAACAACCTCACACACAAACACAAAAAAAGAAAAGAAAAAAACTCACCGTAAAACTAGTCCTGCGTTCGAGCTTAACCAACGCCAGGTCGTGATAAGCCTGAGGGAATTTGTAGTCAGGATAAGTGATAACTTGCGAGACACCGAAGTCTTGGTGTCTGGCTCCCTCCTCGTCGTCGCTGTAGTCGTGTTCTCCCAAGCGGACCACCGTCAGCTTCCTTCAGCGGATGGGATATGGGGTGATAATAATAATAATGATAATAATAATAATATATAAATGATGTAGGTAATACATCATACATATCTCCCCTTCACCCCTCCTCACACACCTACCCTACCCCACACCTCCCACCATTCCCCCTCCCCTCTCCCCTCTTCCCCTACCCACCTTCCCCCTCCCCTCCCCACCTTCCCCCTCCCCCTCCCCTCTTCCCCTACCCACCTCCCCATCCCCTCTTCCCC